GATGGTTTATTTTTTCTGTTTTCCCAAAAATCTTTAGAAAAATACTATGTGACACATGCTAGAAGGCTAACGTGTCTCCACAAAAACTGAGCTAATTATAAATTTAATTATAGTGGAATTATTTCTTTTTCATTATTGACAATTAAAAGGAACACCAAGATGTTTCCTTTTAGAAGTAAATCAGAGGCCTAATGTCCACATGTCCACTCAGTTCATCCAAACTCTGCACTAATGTGCTGGAAAGAGCAGGCTGAGCCTTCAGTGTCTGCTCCATTGTAGATCTTATTCCACCTTTGACCACAAGGAGGCAGAAGTGTGTGCTGTTTGTTGGTGGAGCAGAGTGCAGCCTTGGGCCTGGTCTGAACCACATACCTCACAGTTTTTAGATAGACTGGCTTTGGATTCTGATGACCTTTTTGTGAGAATATAGATAGTAGATGTGTGAATGAGACTTATGGCTGTTACAGTGTTGATGATCTCTGTGTGACACTGATGGACAAACGTTTGTTTACGGTTTGGGAAGAGCAGGACTTGTCTTTGCCCTGTTTGGCCTCTGTCTGGTCCGATGGAGAGTTTTTACTAAAAGGAGAAGAGAGTCTCACAGCAGATGTGACACTTTACAAGCCAGCTGCTCCATACATCCAACGCACAAGCTCACACACACACAACACACACTCACACACACACACACACACACACACACACACACACACACACACACACACACACACACACACACACACACACACACACACACACACACACACACACACACACACACACACACACACACACACACACACACAGAGTGTGCTGTTCTGTGTCAGTTAGGGTTAGGGTTAGAATCATGGGGTACTTTGTGTTCTGGCTCGTTCTGAGATCATGAAATGATACTTTCTGATCTCTTATGGAACAAAATTTCATCTTGAGAAATTGTCACTTTGTGTCCCCATGAGAAAAATTCCCTTAAGATATTTTTTGTTAACCAATTTTCCATTGTACATGTAAAATGTGCTAAGTGACTCCTCTGGAGAAGCTGTAGTTCCAGCAAAACAATGCCATAAATTGTGATGCCAAACTTTAGACCTGCAATGCACAAGTGATTTATAATAGAGCATGTGAAAATGTGATCTTATCTGATTCTCATGGAGCCACTCTCATAGAAAGTGTATCGCACCTCTACACTCATATAACACCAGAAAACACTTGGAAATGGGCTTTGAAATGACGCTCTTATAAAACTAAAACAATCATAACCCTTCAAATCTACAGAGGGTATTTGAGAACAAGCATAGAATAATAACATTCAAACAAACCATCAGATAGAACTTTACATCATGGGATCAGTCCTCTGCTCCTTCCGTCTCTCTGTTTGAGACGAGGCCAAGTCTCATAAGGATTAAGCACCACCTGTAACCTGGACCCTGTGGCTGTGCTTGCATTAGTGCCTTATATGGTCATGTAAAAGGCATATATCACTTTATCAGTCCAGAAGGAAATTCTTCCAGAAGTGTTGAAAGTTCCCATAATGAAACATGAATTGTATCTGAGTACAGTACAGTGAATCATTTGAATAACTAAAGTTTCAGCTTTTCAAACGTCTTCTGACACTAACAACATTTCCTGAAAATGTAAAGTTTCTGATTGGATTTAGGAAATTCTGGCTTTTGTCAACTAGAGAAATTCTAGTTGAGCTAAAGATGTGCTGCTAAATGATTAGTCGACTAAAAAGGAAGTGTGGCAAAAGCTCTCTAAACTACTATTTAGCAGAAAAAAGTACTGGGAAAGGCAGATTAAACACAGGAGTCACTGCCAAATCTGCCAAATAAAACTCTCACCATACCCTTTACTTTCTGCGACTGTCCCATATAAATGCTAATAATCAAAATCAAATATTTAGTCGACTGATACAAACTTTACTCTTCTAAGACTCCACTGAAACCCTGGAGGAAATTGGGTTAAGTGGACTGTTAACACATACTGCCTCATGTTGTTTGATAATTCATGAGAAGTTCCAAAGATGAGGGCAGGGCCTGACAGGAGCAGGAGACGTCTCTGGTCTCTGGTCTGGCTGCAAAAATGAGACGCCTTAGAGAGTGACACGTGCGAAGACAAGGGACGCACATGGAGGGTAGAGCATGGATTGTGATGAAAAGAAATCCCTCAAACACCAACTGGATAACATGTCTCGGTGCCTTGTTTTTTTTCTCCCTCTAGTGGTGAGTCACGGTAACATCCAGGCCTGTGTGAGTGTGTAAGATGGCGGTGCTTGGTGAGCCTGGTGTCCTTCTGTCTGTGCTGTTGTCATTATGCTCTTCACCACCAGGGGGCAGGACCGGGGCTGTACGGTCCCAGGATCGGTTCTCTTCAGATGGATCTGTCACTGTTCATGTTCTCACGAGCGCTCTTTAAATTCCATGCTCTTTCTGTGTGTTTGGAGCGATGGACCCATGATCTGTGCTGTGAGCTGGTGCTTGAACAGGGTGACCAGATTTTCAAAATAAAAGCTGAGACATCCCTGGTTTGGGGTGGTTCGTGATCAGTGTTGGGAAGGTGACTTTTCAAATGTAATCCCCTACAGATTACAGATTACATACCCCAAAATGTAGTTTGTAACGTAATCCATTAAATTACTTAATAAGTAACGTAATCTGAATACTTTGGATTACTTGATATTCGTGCTTTTAAAATTACATGAATGTAACAACCACATCCTGCAAATTCTTGTTTGTTTTCTTCAAATTGTCTGTTGAGCCCAAATCTCCATGAACAGACTTTTGTTTTACTGAAGAGAAGCAAAGACCAGGAAATCTGAACATGAGATGTTTTATCTGCTAAAAGACAATAAAAATTCCAGTCTTTCCTTAACCGTATTAAAAATATTATTGATAGAGAAATTATTTTTATATGAAATCACTGCTGCCTTCAATTATGTCCACCTACTGTTAGTGTCATATTGTTTAGACCTGGTTTATTCCTTATTTAGACCTGATTTAGACCTGGTTTAGTCCTGGTTTAGTCCTAGTTTCGTTTTAGTTTAGTCCTGGTTTAGTCTTGGTTTAGTCCTAGTTTAGTCCTAGTTTAGTCCTGGTTTAGACCTGGTTTAGTCCTGGTTTAGTCCTAGTTTAGTCCTGGTTTAGTCTTGGTTTAGACCTGGTTTAGTCCTAGTTTAGTCCTGGTTTAGTCCTAGTTTAGTCCTGGTTTAGTCCTGGTTTAGTCCTGGTTTAGACCTGGTTTAGACCTGGTTTAGTCCTAGTTTAGTCCTAGTTTAGTCCTGGTTTAGACCTGGTTTAGTCCTGGTTTAGTCCTAGTTTAGTCCTGGTTTAGTCCTGGTTTACCTGGTCCTGGTTTAGTCCTTTAGTCCTGGTTTAGTCCTAGTTTAGACCTGGTTTAGACCTGGTTTAGTCCTAGTGTAGTCCTGGTTTAGTCCTGGTTTAGTCCTAGTCTAGTCCTGGTTTAGTCCTAGTTTAGTCCTGGTTTAGACCTCGTTTAGACCTGGTTTAGTCCTGGTTTAGTCCTGGTTTTAGACCTTCTTTAATCCTGGTTTTAGTCCTGGTTTAGTCCTGGTTTATGGCCATGTAAGCCATGTAATCCAAAGTAACTGTAATCCAATTACCACTCAAACAATTACCACTGAAACAGTAACTGTAACTGAATACAGTTACTCATAATTAGTACTCTGATTACGTAACGCCAGTACATGTAATCTGTTACTCCCCAACTCATAATCGTAATAACAAAATTATGAGAAACTGTTCTGCACTCAGCACTAATGTGTGTTTTGGTCATTTTAAAGCAACTTTTCTGTATTTTACCTAAAAAAAAAAAAAAAAAAAAAAAGACAATATATGTCTCTCTTTACTGTTGGCAGGGATCCGATTGAGCAAAAATAGGGACATCAGGGACATTTCTTGTATAAAACTGGGACAAATCGGTGGTTTTGAATAAATCTGCTTTGACAGGGGACACAGGCTCAAAACTGGGACTGTCTGACTGCTCACCCTGTACATATCTTTTTAATCTGGCCCACCAAACTTGAATAATAATAATTTACAGTGTTTTAAAAGTAACATTTTTTATAAAATTTTTGGTTGGAAACATACAATAATTTTGTTTTACGTTTAAATTTGATGCTATTTGTTTCCAATTTTAAATCAGCTGGTTGCAGTTCCACAGTCTGGCCCCCAAGAAGACTGACCCAGAGTCCTGTACATGGGGACAACACAATTACCACTAGTATCACCTCTTGTAGTAGCTCTGTGTGTACAACTTATGATCCTGGCAAATTCTGAATTCAGTGGAATATCACAGTTAAGACACTTAAAAAATTATTTAAGATAATTAAAATTGGTAACATTTTCAAAGTTAAATAGGTTCTGTTTCTTTAAAATACTAATACTATTGGTAATACTATTGTCAGTAGCGATGCACCATTCCAATACTGGTCTGGGATATTTCTACCAGTGCTCATCAATTGTGAACAGTTACTGGATATCAACTTCCAAATACTGGGTGAACATATTCATTGATGTAATAAGACTGTTCTGTTCACTGGTCGCACACAAAGTTGTTCAGATAACAGCTCCAGAGCACATTTGGCTCAGTTTTGTCTTATTTTATTTTTGTTTAAAGGAAATAAATGTTGTTTTATACTATATCTGCACTCGACAGATATGGTATAGTATAACATATACTATAACATCAAAATCTGTATCAGAACTGAAAAAATTTAATTGACGCATCCTAATTAATAGTATTTTTGTGTATGTAGTGTGCCTTCATGATTTAGAGACACAGTCACTGTTTGGAAATTGATCTTAAATGGAAAATCTTAAAGGGGACCATAGAAACACTGGTGGAGCAGTTCAGATTTCAGTCTTCTCGAACATGTGTGAAAATGTCTGTGTTCAATACTCAGTCCAGTCACTACTGCAGTTTGTTAGTTGGTTACAGCTGCTATCACCAAACACTAAATAATAATGTTTTAACTGTGTTTTCAGGCCGCTGGTCTGGCCCAAGGCGTCGTGGACAAGGGTTTGTACCAGAGGAAAGAGACTCACGGCTCAGCGGACGGCAAAGAGGAGCAGTCAAGTATGACCTGTGAACACTGCATGTACTCTACTCTCACTGCTTTAGACCACTTTACAGCTCTTCTTCTTCTCTGCACAGATGGTGACTCAGACAGAACCACCAGAGGGAGCTCTCCTGCTGCAGAGGCCATGCTGAATGGGGACGACCATGGGGAGCATAAAGCCCTGTCGCAGGGCTCCTCTCTGCCTAAGACTCTGGTAGTGAGTGAGAACGGTACGTCAGAGCCTCCGCACGGCTCTGTGACCGGGAGTAATGGACTTTCTCTGGGCCAGACACACACAGATCCCGGGCTCTCCCCACACCGGACTCACAGCTCCTCTGCTGGAGCGCGCACGGACACTCCCCCCGCCCCTCCTCCCACAAGTGGAAACTCACTAAGGACTGACCCCCCAAAAGCCCCCGGGCCCTCAGGAGCCAAAAATGGCCCTCCTGTCCAAGTGCACCGAGCACGAAAAACTATGAGTCGACCGGCCGTCAGCGCTGCTCAGAAGGTACTAGAGCTACACTCACGTCTGTGCTCTTCAGGTCTGCTTTTGGACGGCCACACTCACACTGTACATGTACTATACAGCAGAAATGGACCACTGGTCATTTTAGTGGACCATATGGACACTCCTTTGTGTTCTTCAGCTTGAAGCTAATGATTCAAACTTACACTAACAGATTTGACCAGTCACAGTTTTATTCTGTGAACTCTGAGAATCACTGAATTGATCTTTTCAAGAGAGTGACATGCTACAAGTGTCCAACATGTTTAAATTTGAACTGATGGCTCATTTCCCAGAGGAATCTTCTGACAAATGTCAGATGTATTTATTTTTTACATGTTTGACAAATTGACATGGATCATCAAGTGATGAAGTAACCTTGTGGTGCAGCCATAGACTGTAGACTGTATATAATCCACTCACATGAAGCTCGTGAGGCTCACGGTTACAGGAGCGAATCTGGAGCCAGGCTCTATATTATTTGACAGACAAAATAGAGCCAGAATCAATAGGAGCCGGAAGAGCCGCATGTGAACTTCCTGTTTGGAATGTGGCGGCTGTGTCAGCTGTGTCCATTTATATATACAGTCTATGAGTGCATATATGGGTGGATTGTCAAGAGGTCTGACTTTTCAAACAAAAAATCCATCTGCTAAGGCTTCCGCTCATCTGTTCCAGTTCACTTTCGGTGCAGAACAGAATTTTTTTTTTTTCCAACAAAAACATGTTATTAATAATTGCTGTAAAGGTGCCAAGTGTAAGATGTTACACATTCATTTGACCAAAAACTATATTATGTGTTGGCTGCTGTGTTTGGCTAAAGCTCACATAGAGTCCCTCCTCTTCTGACACAATATCCACTAGTCACATTCTACAGTGATGCTGGGTAGGACTTCATTCAGAGTGTTGTGTGTATTAATCTGCTGTTGGCCAGGTTGCAAACATTTGTTGATCCTTTTCTGTAAACAAGTTAGGTTCTACCTCTCCTGTTGTATCATGTAAGAGTCTGTGTCATCAACAGTGAAGTCATGGTTTTAATGAAGCAATGTTTTAAATCTCTGACTCTGCAGCTTCTCAGGCGGGAAATGCGAGAATCCAAAGGTGCCAAAGGTGACCAGATGGACACTAATGACCCCCAGACCCGCCCTGAGCTGCCCTCCACACAGAACCAGCTACCTCACAGCCCGGCCCAGGAGAAGGTCACCACAACAGCAACCACAACCACAACAACCACAACAACGACGACGACAAGTGACCGGAGCACTGCACAAAGCCCGCCCCCCGCCTCAGCAGACCCCGCCCCCAGCCCTGCTCCTGCCAAACTACATCTGGGTCAGACACATGCTCATCTCTGTAGCCTGTGATTCCAGAGTCTAGATCAGTCATGCGCTGTAGTCAGTACTTTTAAGTCAACTTTGCACCCTCAGAGTTTGACTGCAGAGGCTTAGAAACAAGTCAAAGTCCAACACTGTCCAAGCCCCCAGCCCATTAGTCACTTGTTTTAGAGTTTGGTGGAGGTGATTTGAGGGATGTCTGCTCTTTTTCATGGGACTATTGTAGAACCAAGATTACGGCTGCTGCTGATGACTTCATTCAGAACTATTTAACCTATTATGTTTACTGCCTTGGCAACAGATTTAGTAAAAAATTAAATTGTCTGGACTCAATCTTTAGACTAGACGACGTATTACCTCTTATCCAAAAGGCTTAGTCAGTTTCATAATGACCTATTTACCAAAAATCAACCTTCTGATATTTGGCCACTCTGAGCAATGGTGCATACTACATAATACAACGGTTTCCACTTGTGATCAAGAGATTATATTTTTGTCTAAATGTTTAGTTTGTCATTTTATCTTCTTTTGTACTCGTAACTTTGAAAATAATGAGTCCATAAGAGTTGTCTACTATGCTGTTATGTGGTTCCCTCATCAAACGTGCCTGAAGAGTTTTTAGATGTCGTCCGTGCATGTTTCTCTCTTGGCATTATTCGAACCCTCCTTTTGGTTTGCTGTAAGATTTTGTGCAATGCTCCACCTACAAGCCTACATCAGCTATGCCATCACACCACAATTCTCCATAAATATACAAAAACATGATACAAAACTGTACACAACAACTTCACAAACCTGGTACAATGTACAGTCGTTTCAGCGCTCTGAAGGGCTCTGAAGCAAAGGGAAGACTCAGCATCATAAATGAAACAAACATATTACATGAATAATTATTAATCCATCCATTTTCTTCCGCTTTATCTCGGGTCGGGTCGCGGGGGCAGCAGTATGAGCAGGGACTCCCAGACTTCCTTCACCCCAGACACGTCCTCCAGCACCTAATTCTTAATACAATCATATATTGTTTTCGGTCAATATAACATTTTAACAATAAAATGTATCATGGTGATCTGAATACAATATGTTATGTGTTAGCAATTAATACAGCGATATACAAATACTAATACGCAGAAGGCCTCATACTGAAACATTTCCAGGCTAACATAGATGTGATAGAGCTACTGTCAATAAGGTCTGTATCAAATATCATAGTTTTGTTTTTGAGGCTATGGTGGTACAAAAGGTAATGCCTATGACCATTAGGAGCAATTTAGCAAGAGGTCCCCGGTCTTTTGTTTGGACGGTTAATAGACCTTTTTCAGAACAGCTGGAAGTGCCCCGCTGTAGGTTTGAGGAACTCCTGGATAATGGGTTTCTGTGGCTAAATGTGTGTGTAAATGTGTGTGGTATTCTCCAGCAGCTTCATGAATCTGCCCCATCACCAAATCTTCAACCAACAAACTCCACAAAGAATAAACATTCTTCCATGTAGAATTTATCCACAACTATCAAGAGAAGAAAGACAAAAACATAAAGATGAACAACAGCAACGCTTTAGTGACACACTGACCAAAACTAATGTTATGGTCCTAGAGATGTCGATCATTCAAACTACACAAATCTATCTATGCTAAAATCAACATCATAAAATACATTTTTAATTTTAATAGTACAATCAATCTGAGTGAAGTTCCTTCTGTTTTATTCATGACCATAACATTAGTTTTGTACAGTGTGTCACTAATGTGTCGTCGTTGTTCGTTTTTAAGTTTTCTTCTTTCTTCTCTTGATAGTTGTGGCTAAATTGTTCATGTTCGAATGTTTATCCTTTGTGGACCTTGTTGGTTGAAGGTTTGGTGATGGGGCAGATTTATGAAGCTGGTAGAGAGTAGGCAAAACATTTTAACAGACATTTTGCCATAGAAAACCATTAACCGGATGTTCTTCAAACCTTAGAGGCTGTTGTGAAAAAGGTCTGTACCTCATAGAAGTAAAATACCCCCTCTTAAAGAAACATACAGAAACTTTTATGTGATTTATAATATAATTAAGGGTGCTCAAGTCACTCCTACTAGCACTGACTACATGAGCATGGCATAGTGTAAATGTTGTTTTGCTTCTCCAGTTCCCTTCTCCGGCGCCCTGGTGTCCCGTAAGAAGAAGCGGAGGATGGGGACCTACAGCCTGGTACCCAAGAAGAAAGCCAAAGTGCTGAAGCAGAGATCAGTGTTAGAGATATTCAAACAGCTGGAGCACACTGCCAAGAGCCCCGAGGTTTGACGCACCAACAGAGATTTTAGATTTTAGAGATTGATCAATATTAAAACTAGTGTACTGAAATCAAAACTAGATACTCATATTAGCAGGTATCGATTTCTGTTGTCTAAAGAGTGTTTTATTATCATTGTGCTATCAGAATCAGTATTGAGTATCCAGTCTGTTTCTTTGTTTTGAAAATAGAAATTTATGTTGACTGAGTGAAGAGACGTTGCATAGTCATGTTTGGATGTTGTTCTCAGGTCAAACCAGCAAACCTTAACGGTGAGAAGGTGGCGCACATTTCTGAGGAGGAGGGGTCCGAGCTGGAGGAGTCTGAGGAGGAACATAAACCCCCAGAGAAGCCAGTGTCAGATGTCCCACAGCCCAAACAAGCACCTGAAGGCACCACACAGGTGAATGAGACATGTTTGAATATTGAAGTTCTCTATGAAAGTTGGACAGTAATAAAACATACTCCGATATTACACAAAACTGACTCTTGTGAACTTTAAGTCATGTTATAATGTTGTTAGCTCATCAAAACAGACCTGGAGTTGTGTTTTTTTCATTCACATGTTTGAGTAACTCTTTATTATTAATCTGTTTACATCTCTAAAGCTCAAAATGCTGTGTTCCACCTTGTGATGTCATGGTCATGTAGTGGTAGTGTTCAAGTTAACAGCTTCTTTTACCTTTTGTTCAGTAGAGATTCCAGTTCTGAAATGATTGACATTATTGAAGGCATATGGTGTTTAAAAACAGATTGAAGAACTTTCTGTGTTACCACGTAACATCTCAAGATGAAACAGAGTTCCTTTGGAGAGAAGAACTCAGCTTAAATATGCAGGGTTTGTGTGATTAAAACAAAACACAACTCCAGATCTGTTTGTGATGAGGAAACATTATAAGTTAGATATTACATTATTAGTTAGATATAATATGGGCCCTTTAAATCACTCAGTACGTAAGACTGATATTTGGATGAACCACATGAGGAATGTGACACACAAGGCTGTGTTTGAACACTTTAATGTGAGGACAAAGCACAGAATATTACTGTACTACCACTGGTTTGTTGTGAAACAGGGTTGTTAATGCTCCTCTTTGTTAGAAACACCTGACCGTAATTAGGACAGTCCTGTGTGATGTCACATAGTACTTCAAATTGCAGTGGCTACTGAAGGCAGCACACACTGTTTTTGAACACACTGCTGCCAGTTTACCTAGATTGCACTAAAATGCTTCTAAAATGACTCGGAGTAGCAGATAATGTGACTAGAACACTGTGTACATGACACAGGAGCAAGAAAAGTTGATTTAGCGTTTAGTTCCAATTTAATGAACATCCAAACTTCTAACCCAGTGATTAAGCAGCGACTAAGCCTGAATCACTCTTAATGAACTCATTTTGGCTTAGTTTAGTTCATTATAAATTAACATTGTCCATGCTTTATTAAGATTAATTAAGGTGTAGTTATTGTAAAAGTTTTTTTTTTTTTTTTTCTATAGTTGAGCAGTGCCCTGCAGGGGTGTGCAGAAATATCAAAATATCGATATATAGTATAGTTTAATGTGATAATACAGAATCAATACCATGGGCTGCTGTATCGATATATCAGCAAGAGTATTTTTTGGTGTATTTGTTATAATGTCCAAGTAATTTGTTGTTGTAATTTTGTTACAGAGGTTCAGTTTTGCTTGTTTAGAGGAAGGAAACTCGTTTATGCAACACATTTGACGTTTTCCCTGTTTTGATGATTAAAATGGCCATGTTTCATATGAACTTTGCACAAAAAGTGGTCTGAGAATCACAGCCATGATTTAGCTATTATTTTTTATTGAACTGTATCAAAATTGGGTTTGGTCAAGCAGTAACGGAGGGAAACATGGGCAGATTTATTATATTCAAATGTCTCTTATTGAGAAACTAGAGGGACTATTGAAATAAGTAAAGTATCAGAATGTAGGAAAGAGTTACACTCCAACAGGGTAAAGTTAAACCTGTGATATTCGTTCAAGTTATTGACAAAAAATTTAAAAACTCATGTCAGTAACGGAGGAAATGAAATATGCAGCACTTTTTGGTCAATAAATCCAAACAGTGATAACTCTCACTTCCATATCCTTAACAAACTGGTTTGAATATTTGCTTCATATAGTTTTCTACCATATGGTCCAAGATTAGGTTGAAAAACCTCTTACGTTTTGTGTCATGAGATTTTTTATTAAGAAAAGTCATGGTAACGGAGGGAAAAGTAACGGAAGGAAAATTGTGCAAACAAGTAGAAGGTGCAGGATTTTACATCATTTGTCACGTTTTTTTCTTCCGAATACTTTAATATTACTTCAAAATGAAAAGAAACTATTTCTATAAAATATGTCAGTCCTTCCAAGCAATTTTTTATCATTTTAAATACATTTAAAAAAAAAAAAATCATGTACCTTCATCAACAGTTCAAAGATGGAATAACACAAGATATGATGAAATACATCCATTTATTGACAGGATTTGCAGGTCTTTGAAATTTGGAAAATAATTTTTGTTCCATGATTCATACATGGTCTGTTTAAAGCGTATGGAACCAAAAATGGTACAGAAAAAAGGTCAACAGTTTCATAAACTAGAGTACATATGTATCTGTTCAATACATTTTTATATCAGATGTATTAACTTGAAGTTTTGGCCTTGCTGTTTACTTCTGCTTGACCGGGGCCTATTGTAATCGATTAGAAATATATTGTATTGAACCAAAATTGCAACGTATCGAGATATGTATCGCATCGGCAACTTCTTAATGATACTAGCCCTAGTGCACTGTAGGTAGCAGTTTACAGTAGTTCCCAAGCGTATAGTTGGAAAACCAGCAGCCGTGAGTGTTACTGTATTCTCACACATCTGCATTAGCCATGAAAAAATCTATCTATGTAATACCCTATACATTTCCAGTCAGTTGTTGGAATGTAGAATTGTCATTCCAAATGTGATGTGGTGTCTTGTGTTCAGGTGGTCCAGGAGCAGGAGAGCGAGGAGTCTGCGGAGGAGGAGGCAGAAGAGGAGGGCACAGAGTCTGATCTGGTACACAACATGTCACTGCTCATATAGTTTGAGTCCTTCTCTGTAAACAACCTGAATGTTTTTCTTCAGAGCACGGGCTCCAGTGTGAGGCAGAAGAAGCCCAAACAGACACTGAGAGGAGACAAAGCCTGGCTACGGCCCTCAAGGAAACGCAAGAGGAAGCTAAAAGCCAAAGGTGAGCTCTCCAGTAACACCTGTACTCTTCAGATGTATGTGTATGATTGTGGTTATTTAAAGGGGCACAGTGGAACTTTCCTGGTGGAGGATTGTCTTATGCTCTTCTCTTATTACTTTGCGTGGAATTCTCCACTGTATGGTTGCATATTTAAACCAAATACAGGTCAGAGAGAGTGAATTGCTTACTATAAAAAATATGTTTTAAATACTACGCAGAATTCACTGTTTATAGCTTTCTACCGTATGACTGGTGAGTTTCTGAAATACAGAAAAAGGTTGATTTATTACAGCAGACAGGGCTTAATCCTGCCCTGGCCAGACACCAACAGTCTCCCCAGTCTCTTCTCAGAGTCTACTTCCTCTCAGTCTACCACCCAGAGCGTCTGAGCTCTGACTATTTATACCAGAATTGCAAAGCTAAATGCATCATAGCCGAGTGACTTTTGTTTCACATCCACAAGCTCATCAGTTTACACTTGAAGGCAGGTAAAACAATAAAGGGTTTACACATGTTAATGACTGTTTTTGTGCATTTAGTCTGAGTCACTCAGACACACAGACCAAAGACATATGAGAACAATATTTTCTTCGCAACATGAATACACACATTTCCATCACATTCCCTCATCAAAAACCTGCCTGAAGAGCTTTTAGATGTCATCCATGAATCTCTGAGTAATCTAGCGACCTCTCTCTGGCCTAGTTGAACTTTCTTACAGGTATGCTCTTGTCCAATGCTCAGGCCACAAGCTTACGTCACTCCTGTACAGACATTTTTCATGATACAAAATAGTACATTACAACTGGACAAACCTGATGCCTTAGCTGGACACACGCTGTTTGTGTTGTGATAGTGCTCTGCAGGGGGAGTGACTTAGCATGGGGAGCAAAAGGAAGGAAACTCAGAGCATCAAAAAAATGAAACTGAAACTAAATAAACATTCAGTCATTGATAAATGCTGGATAGATGTGTTTAATGCCACACAGTGGAACATAGTGCACCTTTCTAATGAAGCTTCTGTGTTTTATTCAGACTCTGAGCTGCAGGATCAGTCTGAAGCTCCGGTCCAGCTCCAGTCCTCTGAGGAGAAACCACTTTCTCAACCCAGTGAACCCTCTCAACCCAGCCCCCAACCCAAAAACATGGAACCTAAACCTCCTCAACCCAAAAACATGGAACCTAAACCTCCTCAACCCAAAAACATGGAACCTAAACCTCCTCAACCCAAAAACATGGAACCTAAACCTCCTCAACCCAAAAACATGGAACCTAAACCTCCTCAACCCAAAAACATGGAACCTAAACCTCCTCAACCCAAAAACACGGAACCTAAACCTCCTCAACCCAAAAACACGGAACCTAAACCTCCTCAACCCAAAAACACGGAACCTAAACCTCCTCAACCCAAAAACGTGGAACCCAAAATCCCCCAACCCAGAAATGTGGATTCCAAAAATCCTGAAGCTACCAATGTGGAACCCAAAAGCTCCCAACCTACTGTAGAACCCACTGTAGAACCCACTGTAGAACCATCTGTAGAACCATCTGTAGAACCAACTGTAGAACCAACTGTAGAACCAACTGTAAAACCATCTGTTGAGCCCGCGGTAGAACCCAGCGTTGAACCCACTGTGAAAACTGGTGTGGAACCCAGCGTTGAATCCAGTATGGAACCCAACGTGGAACCACCTGTGGAACCCAACGTGGATCCTGCTGTGGAACCCGGGGCACAAGTCAGTCCAGAGACCAGCCAGTCGGAGCCCCCCCGCCCCTGCACCCCCCCACAGTCTGCTCCTAAAACAGACAAGATGGAAACCAGCAGTAAGAACAGTATTTTATTTCATATAAAACCTTCTCTTCGTTGTAGCAGATAGCAGTGTCTCCAATTTTAAAGTGGCTAAAACTCTGATAAAAGTTTTGTCATAGGCATGCATCTTTATACTGTTTAAAATGTGTAGGAACACATTTGTACATTGTTTCTTGAGAAGGCTCCTGGTCGATAACAAATAATGAATATAACAAATGACCTATTGTTTACTCTAGAGAGAACAATTACATGACTTCTGTAGTAGCTATGATTAGACTAATACAAATAATTTCTCATAAAATAGCCTTCTTTGAGTTTAAATTGTACTTTGGATACTGTGTTGATGACATAGGTAGAGGTACTCAGGAACTCCGCAGTGCTTCCTGTATTTTTGTACTTTTCCCCTCAACCACAAACTGCCACTTAACTGAAGTAAAACTATGATAAATATTTAGCCAAACCAAGTCAGATTTAGAAAAAACATGAAAACTTGTCATGCTCTGTACGTGTCTTCCACTTCTCATATCTGTCCAGTTTCAGTCCATCACAGCTTTAACTTTTCTCTCCTTGGTCAGCATCTTCATGATGACTTTTGTTCACGTGTCCCCTTCAGCTCCTGTGAGGCCTGCAGTAGAGGACAGTCAGGAGCTGCCCCTGTGCAGCTGTCGCATGGAGACTCCCAAGAGCCGAGAGATCCTGATCCTGGCCGACAGGAAGTGCATGGCCACAGAGAGCGTGGACGGGCAGCTGAGCCGGTGCCAGGGCGCCGTCCTTAAACAGGAAATGATGCGACCATCAAACTCGGTGCAGCTGCTGGTGCTGTGTGAAGACCATCGCACAGGCATGGTCAAGCACCAGTGCTGCCCCGGCTGTGGCTACTTCTGTCGGGCTGTAAGTACACGGACCAGGGACCGCGTGTAGAAACTATTAAACAAGCTTTTCAAAACACTACTAAGTGTTTTTTGTTTTTTTATTCATACAAAGACCTTTATGACACTGTGCTTAAAGATGCACTGTGCAACTGTACCGGCTTGTCTCAATGGACACAGACTGCTCTTTTGGTTGTTGCTCTTTTATATGGAGATAGAGAAGTTTAATGCCATACTGTGGAACATTTTACACAAAGTAATAACATCTCTATGAAGACAAGCAGGTGGACCCACAACCAGAAAGGTTATAGAGGGCACCTTTAAAATACTCACACTATAAACTATTTAATTGTTAGCGTCATGTTGGCAAAGACAACTCTGTTGAGGGTAGTGTTGTCAAAAGTCTCGATACTACAGTCCCTGACAAAAGTCTTGTCACTTATCCATTTTGTAGAAACAAAATCTTATAACCTGACTTTAAATTAATCGATTGGTTTTAGAAATGTCTCATATGAAGCTAAAACCCTCCCAAATTATGCTCAATATACTAAAATAAATTTGCTTCACTGAAGAAAGATTGATCATTTAATGAACACAGAAAGGTCAGATTTTGGCAAGACAAAAGTCTTGTCGCCTACAGAAAATTGAACAAATAATTTACTTCAAATACAAAAATATGTTGCATAACGTCAGTGAATGAAGTAGTGGTGCTGTGAGATCCAGATTTAATATCTTGTATGACGTCCATGAGCTTGAAGGACACATCCATGTGGTTCCACAATGATTCATACAATTTGTTGATGAAGTCATCAGGAATAGTAAAGAAAGCGTCTTACATGCCTCCCAGAGTTCATCAAGATTCTTTGGTTTTGCCTTCCATGCTTCCTCTTTCATTCTACCCCAGACCTGCTCAATGATGTTCATGTCTGGTGACTGGGCTGGTCAGTCCTGGAGCACCTTGATCTTCTTCACCTTGAGAAACTTTGATGTAGAGATAGAAGTATGTGATGGAGCACCATCCTGCTGCAAAATTGGACCCCTTTTATAGTTGGGAATGTAAGAGGAGCTAATACTTCTTGATATTTTAGGCTATTGATATTTGCCTTCCACCCTGCAAATGTCTCACACACCCCCAGACTGGATGTAATCCCAGACCATGACTTTCCGCCACCAAACTTAACTGTTTTCTGGGTGAATCTTGGATCCATGTGGGCTCCAGTAGGTCTCCTGCAATATTTGCGGCGGCTGTGATGTAATTCAACCGAGGATTCATCTGAGAAATCCACCTTCTGCCACTTTTCCAGTGTCCATCCTTTTATCAGGCTGTGGGCCTTGGCAAATGCCACACGGTTTTTTAATTGCCTTTTGTTTAGTGCTGGTTTCTGTGCACTGATTCGACCATGGAGGCCATTTCCAGACAGAATTCTACAAACTGTTGTGGTTGACACAGGGACTTGAGGTGACCAGGCCTGGTGGAGTCTGCTGCAGTGGAAAAGGGGCCTTGGATTTTTGAATCAACAAACGATCCTCCCGAGCAGTTGTCTTGTGGCGTCTGCTGGACCTGGGCTTGTCAAAAACATCTCCAGTCATTTCAGATCTTTTTCTTATTCTTTGTACTTGACGCTGAGACACATTGAAGGTGTCACCACCTCAGCAGTGGATCTGGTCTTCAGCCTCTTGATAATTAAGGCTTTGGTCTCAGGGTGGATCTTAGGCATGTTGTCAGAGGTCAAGTTGCAGTTGATGTGAAGGTCTGGTTCTGCTGGGTTCTTTTTATACACACCCACTAACTGATTGATCAGTAACTGATCACAGGTGAGGCTGTAATCTACGATTGGGTGCATCATATGACAAGGCCACAAGACTTTTGTCTTGCCAAAATCTGACCTTTCTGTGTTCATTAAATGATCAATCTTTCTTCAGTGAAGCAAATTTCTTTTAGTATATTGAGCATAATTTGGGAGGGTTTTAGCTTCATATGAGACATTTCTAAAACCAATCGATTAATTTAAAGTCAGGTTATAAGCTTTTGTTTCTACAAAATGGATAAGTGACAAGACTTTTGTCAGGGACTGTAGATACTCACTTGAGCAGGTATCAATTCAAATGAGCCATTCCCACAGAACAGAAATGAACATTTCCTGAATAGCTTTAGAATGATCTTGCATACACCCAGTGTGCCAGTCAAAGTTCTTTGAGCTTTCATCTGACACAGCACATAAGGTCTAGTGGTTTAGAGTTAGCTCTCATGTTAAATATTGTTTCTTCCCTAATAATTCACTTATCATTGTAAATGCACACTCATGAAAACATCATGTGCTGACTCAGCCCGCTCTGTCCTCTCAGGGCACGTTCATGGAGTGCCAGCCGGACGTGAGCATCTCTCACCGCTTCCACCGCACCTGTGCCTCCGTGCTCAAGGGCCAGAGCTTCTGTCCTCACTGTGGAGAGGAGGTGAGCAAGGCCAAAGAGGTGACCATCGCTAAGGCCGACACCACCTCCACAGTGCCCCCTGTACAGGCGCAGCACCTGCCCACGCCCACTGCTGCCGAGGGGCGGGCAGACACCACCACAGGAAGGTACTACAAACACAGCAGTCCCACCTCTCATACTCATATACTATTTTTCTGTTTTAGTTTAAAAATGTAACACATAATTCCTCTGACACTGCTCTAATGCTTTTATGTGTGTTTGAAGTTCAAATAAATCTTCAATTACTGCCCCTTTAAGCAGTAATAAAATACATTAAATAGATTGATAGCATTTATATAGCGCCTTTCAAGATCCCCAAAGTGCTTTACAGATCATTATTCAGTCACTCCACACTCAGTGATGGTAAACTACTACTGTAGCCACAGCTGCCCTGGGGCACACTGACGGAAGCGAGGCTGCCAATCTGCACCATCGGCCCCTCCGACCACCACCATCACTCACACACACACCACTTTCATACTAGGCAATGTGGGTGAAGTGTCTTGCCTAAGGACACAACAACAGTTTTTTGCCACTGGCCCCACTGTGGCACCTGGAATTCCTAGTGGTCTCCCATCCAAGTACTACCCAGGCCCAGCCTGCTGAGCTTCTGAGATCTGACGGGTTCAGGCTTTGACAAGCTGGTATGGCCACATTAACATTCTAGTGTTATTCTTAGCAATATCATCATAGTAGCTTTTCCGATATTTTATTGTATCACACTGTAATTGTTTCAAATTCTAAAGACTGAGAAACTAAAGAAGACACCAGCAAATATTGAACTCTTAAAAAGAGATTTCCATCTCAGTGGGTCCATTTTACACAATTTTCTTACCTATATCATAATAACCCTAACCCTGGTTAAATATTTAATAGTTCATAAATTAGATAGATAAATTACGCATGATCTAACTCTAAACCGTGAATCCGTCCTGTGTCCTCGGGTGCAGCGTGTCCCGCCTGCCCCCAGAGGCTGAGCTGTGTACTGCAGACAGCTCTCTCTCTGTGCGCTCTCCTCTGGACTCTGCTGTCCCCGGCCTGTCCCGCTCCTCCTCTGTCCAGAGCGGGACAGAGGCTCCCATAGCTCACCCAGGACACCCACGTGAGACACTGGAGAGCGTCTTGGTGGCCCTGGACAATGAGAAGTATGTTTGAACACTCCACACACTTCTGCCTGACTGTAACCAGGAGACACCTCTGAGCTTTAATCTTGTCTTTGTGCCACATCCCAGACCCAAGAAGCTGCGCTTTCACCCCAAACAGCTGTACCTGTCTGCCAAACAGGGCGAGCTCCGGAGAGTCCTGCTCATGCTGGGTCAGTGCTCTTCACTACTACTTTAAATGTGTTAATGTAATGTCATAGTTTAGAACAATTTTTGAATAAAGCTGTGACATTATCTGGAAAATTTATATTTTATCTTATTTAGCATTTCATTATCTCAATAATGTTATTATTATTTTCAATAATATAGATTCATTTTTATTGAATTTTTTATATATTTTTTCATTCTTGTGCAGTTGACGGAATTGACCCAAACTTCAAGATGGACTCTCAAAACAAGCGCACCCCTCTTCACGCAGCTGCAGAGGCAGGACATGCAGACATCTGCCACATGCTGGTGCAGGTGAGTTTATTTAGGGAATATTTACACTTAGATCCTTGCTATAGTTTGTTTCATTGCAGAATGTTAGTCAAACGTGAAAAAAAAAAAAGATATCATAATTTTCTTTGAGCCAGATCACAATTTTGATTTTATCACAGTTCATGTCAATTTGTATTTTTATATTTCATTGTATTTGTAGCATTGCTGAAGGTCACCAATAAGAGGAGGAGGTGTGGGCGGGAAAAGTGTCTGAGCTGAGAGTTGCGTTGTGGAAAAAATGATATGATTTTACAAAAACAGCATATTGTTACAGGAATACATTCATAATTAGATCTGTATCACCATTTGACCAGTCCTCAGTGAAAGTCAGTAGAAGTAGAAGTTTTACTGTACACCATTAGGTCCAGTAATACAGAACATTAAATTGTGTTTGTTATGTAAACTACAGATGCCATAAGTAATAAAAGTGTGTAGATAGAATGCACAGCTTGAGCGTGTGTTTGGTGTGTGGTCAGGCTGGAGCTAACCTGGACACGTGTGATGAGGACCAGCGTACTCCTCTGATGGAGGCCTGTGAGAACAACCACATGGAGATCGTGTGTTTTCTGCTACGAGCGGGAGCCAGCGCGACACACAAGGTACTGCTCTGGACTTAGACATGCTGCCACAACTGTCTTTGTGTCACGACTAATGATTTCAGGCATTTACAATCAAGGTAAGAACAAATTTAGAGTCTCAAAGTTAACTTATGCACATACTTATTTTTAATTTTTTGTGTTATTCACAAAATTACAGAATTACAACTTTATTTCTTTATTTGGTAAGACAATTTATCATTAGTAAATAGCAGTTTGTGAACAAAAGTTGAAAAATATCGGATGAAGCGCTAAGTTCTAATAAGGAGTCACAAATACACAAAATTCCATCCAAAAACCAGGGACAGTTTCTGCATAAGGAACGGTAAACTTTAGTCCAAGAAAATGAAAATATAATTTATTTTTATATCAAGTAATCACTATTCATCACTAAATTAGTTTGGGCCATTGTTTACAGTATGGTTTCTAGGTAACAGTTGAAAGAAAAATAGTTATCTTTTTTTTTGTAAAATCTTAAACATAATTGTGTTGTATTGATTGTCTTTGTTGTGTAAATGTTTGTATATTCAGGATATTATATTTCACTCCACAGCCAATATGATGTTCAACAGAGTAATAGAACCTGT